GGGGAGGGGGGGGGTTGTGCTCTGTTTGTTCAAAGAAAGTTCTGTGTATGTGTGTTATCTCTCAACGCTTATTTTTTAAAATAAAATCTTCTGTTATTTAGGTCCAGACAGTGCAATTTCATCCATTTGAAACTCAGACCCTTATTTCTGGATCTTATGATAAGTATGTCAGGGTAATATTTTCAAATGTTACACATAGGGAGGGTATTAGTATTGAATTAAGCCCGTTAATTTCCCTCATGTTTTCATTTGCTTATGACTGTCCTGAATTTGAGTAATGCTATTGTTTTTTTCCAGTAAGGTAGCCAGGTTTGTATGTGGCCAAAATGTAGTTTTCGTTACCTCTTTCTCAGGACCAGCCAAATACTTCAACCGTCTGGACTGACATTTTCTGTGCCAGGTGTCTGCTCCAAATGGAATTTATTTCTTAGTTTGGCCTTATGGCATTTTCTGCATTGGGAATGTGTCACTGGTCCTTCCTGTGAAAACCTGTCAAGGTTTTGCCAAACTGTAAGACCAGGATGGGGGCACGAGGGACTTTAAAAATCCCAGTCCGCTCCCTACAGCCTCTATTGATAGGCATGCCATAGCCAAAGTTGAACAGGCTATCTCCTGTGATTGCGGCCTGGAGATGCTGTGACATGGTTTGTGTCTGCACACCTGGACTAGCTCTGTAACTGCTAGTTTTTATAAGCCCTGCCAGCCAAAAACTTGCCCTCTGCTCTCCCATCTCCTAGGCGTAACTTTTAAATTTTGTTCTATAACAATGATTTTCTTATATCAATTTTTTTATTCTGCTTTTAAGACTTTGTGCTTGTGTTAAAGTATTTAAAGACTTGTCAATCTTTAGCCATGCCTTTATGTTCTCTGGCTTGTATTATGCTCTTGCTACACCCACTTAAGTAAAGGGGTCGGAGAAAAACCTTTAATTGTTGTTAGGAAGCTGCTTCTGTCCACTTTCCTCCTCCTCGACTTCCTTCTGTAAAAATAAGAGAAAAAGGTCCAAACACTGAGACCGGCTTCTCGATCCCTTTTTAGCTAGCCCTTTGATCCCACAGACACCTGTAAACCAGTGTACTGTCTATAAACTGTCTATAAAGTCTACTGACTGCCTTTGTGGATTTTTCCTGTAAAGCTTCCCAGGACCACAGGCTGTTCAATGAATATTGGCAGATGCCTTCATAACCTGAAAGTCAGACTGTTAAAAATTGCATGTGTACTAAAACCGTTGTTGTAAAATGCCTGGTAAAAGAGCTGAGAAACCTAGATCCCGTTTCTTTAGCTTTAATTATAGGATAGAGTGGGAGTGGGTTACTCTGTGGATGTAAATTGTGGTGAGATGTTGCGAGAGTGACATCATCACTCCTTTCTTGCACTTGCATCCAGGAGCTTTTTGAGTTGGGACAGATTCTGCCGCCACTGGGCTGAGCACAAGCCTGTAAAGAATCCCAAAGGACCCACTAACTCCCATCTGCTCTTTCTCCTTTTCGGAGTAGCATTTCCCTAACCACTTGTAAAGATTAATTTTTTTTATTAAAGCATATTTGAAAATGTATCACAAATTGATTTCCTAATTAGTGCGTTATTTTGAACAGTCATTACTTGACTTTACTGAAGTCTGTTCATAATTAAGTGATGTATTTGCATAATTATGGTCTCCCGTATGATAAGTATCTTATGTATTGAGCAAATTCGAGCTCTGTTTGCTTAAATAGAATGGCTGTTTGTAACCAAGAGGAAACTTTGAAGCGTAAGGAAAAAGCTTGTGCTTATCTGAGAAATTTTCATCTGTTATTGAGTTGGAAGACTAAATAGTAAAGTTGTTTCCATTTTAATTTTTGAATTGTAGTTTTACGTGGACCTTCTGTAGATGCCAGTGGTAAAACAAACTTCATGAAGTATTCTGCCATGATTTTTTTTTTTTTTCCTTAATTTCCTATCCCTTTTTCCCATAGATCAGCTGTGCTGTATGATTGCAGAAACCCACAAGATAACCATCGAATGTGGCGGTTTAGTGGTCAGGTTGAGAGAGTAACCTGGAATCATTTTTCACCTTGTAATTTCTTAGTGAGTACATGCTCTTCTATTTTGGTCTGTTGACTGTTGCCATTTCATTTAACCTGTATTTTCGGGTTCATGATGTTTCTGAATCATATAATGGACCTGATGGACAGTTGGACTGTTGGCGTTGCTTATTTTAAAAACGCAGTGTGTGGGAGAGTGGTTTTATGTATTTTTTTTTCAACAAGTATATCGAGACCAGCTACTTATTTGGTATCTTCATTATGACAGTAGAAAAGCAATTGATGCTGATGCGTTTTCACTCCAGAGGTGGCTTCTTTGCCATGTTGTTATAGTGTTCAGTGGCTGGGATATATTTTCCTTTGCATAGTTGCTGTTATGTTTCATGTAATGAGGCAATTGCAGCTGAGAAGTAGCTAATTAGAACCAAGATCCTGATATTAATTCAGTGTTTCAAAGCAGCGCTAGAGGGCACTGTCCTCCTAGCTGGTATAAAGTAAAAATGCCTTGGTTTTGTCGAGATTTTTATAATAGAACTTTTAAACAGAATTTAAAAACAAATCTTTTTTATTATCTCAGTGGCTGTCTAGTTCTCCATTGCTTTGTGTATACAGCCAACAAAAGCAGCTGCTCAGTTCTGTTGGGTTTACGATGTAGATCCCTTTCAGTATAATCACACTTAGCTTTGCACAGGGCTATTATGCAGCCACAGGATGGCTCCAAAAAGTTTGAACTGACAGTTAAGATACTAAAGGCTCTGTATTTCATTGCCTAATGAGAAAGCCAAGCTTAGTAGTGCAACCATCTTCAAAATACCATTTAAGAAATTTGTATAGGATTAAGACTTCCATTTAAGTCCCTGCAGCACAGTTTAGGTACGTAGAATAGCTCGGGCACCAGCTGGATGGAGTCTGACTTTGGGGATGCAGAACAGTGTACACTGTGTAATATGCCCTACTGAGAAGCAGTGTGCGTCTGCCTCAAATCACAGGGATTTAACAGAGGGTGGGTATTATTTCACAGGAACTTTTTTCCAAATGAGTGACTACAGCTGTTTGTTTTTAAAATGTTGTGGTTTCCTTAGGCAAGCACAGAGGATGGCTTTGTGTACTGTCTGGATGCTCGTTCTGATAAGCCACTGTTCACTCTGAAAGCTCACGATGAAGAGGTGTCAGGTAAATTGTGTGTGTGTGTTGTGTGTGTCCCCAGTGGCGAGGCACATCTGGAAGATGTCTTCAACCGATACAACTGAGGTGGTAGTGATTCCTTGCTTAACAAATAAGAGTTGTGCATACTAATCATGGGTAGCTGAAACGAATCTCCGCTGAGAAGCCATTGTAAGCAAAGTATTTTAACAACAGTGAACTTTTCTCAGTGAGTATCGTGAATAAGCATGTCAAAGCAGATCTGTTCACTTGGGACACACTCCCTGTGTTCTCTGGGTGAGGAAGAACAAAAACTATGCAGTCTGGTCCAGGATTATGAACTATAATGTTTACCTCCTCTACCAGTAATTATTTTATACTGACGTTCATTCTGGAGATGATTTAGGTATGGCACATGGGAAGGTTTTCACACTGCCTCCTTTAGGCTGCTTTAATTATTTGATCAGTGTAGGAACTACTAAATGGCAACTTGAAGCACCTGATTAGGTGTCTAAAATGAGATCGTATGAATATGCCCCATCGTCTTGGATAGCAAAAAAGATGGTCTTTGGCAAACGAATGACGAAAACTACCTGGGGAAGCCAGATTATGTGAAGTGAGAAGCAGAACAATAGCATCTTTGCACTGTTACTGTTGTTGGATTAAGGGACAAAATAGGCCTACCTGAAGTCAGTTTGCTCTCACTACAGGGAGCAGTGGCAGCGTGGAACTTTCATTAACTTTTTGCTCCTTTGTGCTGGAACACAGTTCAGTGTGAGGAGAGTATTAGGTTTGTTCTCATGATTTCACTTCAAAATATATCTTCATCTCTGTGAAATAGTGGTTACCTGGTGCTCTCACACTGCTGCACTCTTAATCTTCCAGGGTTACAACTGAGCAGTCAGATCAAAGGGTGCCTTGTGACATCATCTGCTGACAAATACGTGAAAATTTGGGATATCCTGGGAGACAGACCAAGTTTAATCCATTCCAGGAATATGAAAATGGTAGAGTAATATTCATTTCTTGATTCCAAGAAGGTTTATATATAAACTATGTCTGCTTGTTCTTTTTTGTCTAACTTGAATCTTCTTTTACGTAACGTAACATCTTTTAGGAAAAAAAAAAATCACATCTGTGTATTCTGGGTAAACCATGCTCATTACAGTGCAGTGTTCAATTCAACATGTAATTGGCAGACTGCTTCAAAGCCTCAGACTGAATACCAGACACAATGTTCGGAGTGGAACTATAGGTACTCCAACGTGTATCTGCCAGGTTTAAGACGAAGATGTGATTTACTGTTTGTAATTAGCAGCTCTTGACTTTAATTTTGTGTCTTTGCAAAGTAAGTTTCAGGAAACTTACAGAGCTTACATTTGTTAAAACTTGCTTGGTGAAGGTGTTTTCGGATGACAAATTCACTTTAGGATGGTATTTTTAAAAAAAAATCCTCCTCTTTCTGCCTCCCTCCCAGGGTGTTCTCTTCTGTGCAGCTTGCTGCCCTGACTTCCCGTTTGTTTTTGCCTTTGGAGGAGAGCGAGAAGGGCTGCGTGTTTGGGATATAAGCAAGATTTCTGCAGGTAGCGTTCTCTTTTCTTTGAATCTTGTGGTTCTCCCCTTGCCCCCAGGGTGTATTTGTATATTCAGTAATGTATCGTGGCTCTGAAAGAGACTGCAGGTTAATATTTTTAAATACCCCAAGACTGCATATGTGTTCATGTTTTCAGCTTCAAAAAATGTGGGTTTTTTCTAACTTGGAGAACTGTGTTTGCCACACGATTTATTTTCTTGTAGCTGAAGTACAATACCTGATTTCTTATAATATCTATGTTTTACTTTTTTCTTAATGTTCCTGGTGTAATCAAGTATCACATTCTTGAATACCTGTAGGAGTAAAAGTGAGGACTGGTTTTGATCGGTTGTCGTAGCTACATGTAACTAAATGGCATGAATTTTTGCAGAAGGCTTTTAAGAGCTTGGTGGAAACCAGAGAGACTAAAACCAGAAATAAATTATTTAAACTTAATGATTTGCTCTACAGAACTCATCCATTTCACAGTACTTAGGTACAGGAATTATGCACAGGGAAACCTCTAGAGATGCTCTGGGGGAGAAATAACAAGACTTGTAATTTAAGTATCACATGCAGGAGATTGTTCTGACATGTAAGCTTCAACTCCCTACTCAGGGTAAGGGGGAGAGCTTTAAAACTGCACCAGGTTAGGATTTCCATTCCGTGATGTTCACCATGCTGTACTACTCTTGTCTCTGGAACAGTAACATGTAAGCAATCCCCTATCTGTGTTGCAGTGAATGAAGTTTTTGGAAACAGAGAGAGACTTGTTCTGGCTAGTGCCAACTCTGTGGCTTGCAGCTCCATGGCCGGCAGTAGCAGTAACGATTCGGAGACAGCAATGGAATCATGATGGACCAAACCTCACAAAATCAAACTAATTAATGGGACTACGACTAATGTGCATTCTACAAATCCCCGTTTGGTGAGAGTCCATAGAAATGGCTCTAGTGTCTTGCAATCTGCAGGCTCCTTCGTCGCAGACAAAGAAACACGGTGATGTGGTTAAGCTCTAAGTCAGCAGTTCTAAGTTCCTGCCTCTGTTACCGGCTTTGAAAGATTAAATCACTTGCTTTTGCCTGAGATTATGATCCCTGAAACAGGGGCTACTATGTGTAAAGTTGATACATAAAATGAAACGGTCACTAGAAAAGCGTCCTGCTGCTACCAGAAGTTCGCTGAATACTGCGAAGAAGGTAAATATCTTCTAAAGGCATAAGGAAAAATACTTCAGTCAACAGTTGTGTAATAAATAAACAAAAGCTGAATGAAATGACAAGTGTAAATAGATAATTTATCCTTAATTTAAGGCTAGATTTACAGATCTCTAATACAGATTCTAGAAGTTCTTCTATGTAACTTTTTTGAGTCTTAAGAGTATTTCCTGGGCAGTAAGTTGGAGTCCCCGAGTAGAATCTTGAGATGTATTTGTAACATCTCGGAGCACCAGTATCAAACCAGAAATACCTCAGTTGTATCCTATCAAGATCAAGGGTTTCTTTTCCCTGGTTCCACAGCACCTGAAGCTTATTGATGATGCCGGTGTATTGGGTTTTTCTTCAAGCTCCAAACGTAATATATATAAAGAGCATTTGAACAGAAGTAACGAGCTACTACTCAGAAGAGGATGAGAGGCTGTCAGGACACAAAGTGAGGGTAGGGATCTTAGCTGGTCACTGTCAGTGGTGACAGCTGTCCATGTTACGTTCTCATGTTCTTAACTCCTCCCAGGCATTTCTGCCTGACACCTGAAGGCACAGAGGAATGTTTTGAGTATCAGCCGAACCACTGACTTAATCACTTCATTTACAGCATCAGGAACCTAGTCAAGGAATGTGACTCAATCAATTTCCTCACGTTTAAAATGAACACCCAAGTGCCTTATCCCAGGCCAGAAGTTAAATGATACTCCTACCCTCCTGTGAAGTCCTTCCCTCTCCACATACTGGGCTACTATGTGTAAAGTTGATATATAAAATGAAACAGTCACTAGAAAAGCATCCTGCTGCTACCAGAAGTTCGTTGAATACTGCGAAGAAGGTAAATATCTTCTAAAGGCATAAGGAAAAATACTTCAGACAACAGTTGTGTAATAAATAAACAAAAGCTGAATGAAATGACAAGTGTAAATAGATAATTTATCCTTAATTTAAGGCTAGATTTACAAAGCAACTGGTATCGAAGCAGCCATAGTGATGGTGCATGTGGTTGACAAGACCTTACCACTGCTTTTCACCCTAGCTCACTGTAACTCGTTCTGGTGAGGTAAGTCAGATAAAAGGGGAAGAGCCAGAGCTGTAGGTTTCCTTCCCATCCCTTGAAGTTAAGTGGCTGCTTCTCAATCCGATTTAACTGTTTCTAGTCTGGTGACAGGTGTTTAGCATGGCTCCGCAGGAACCAAGAATATTTTGGATGTGTTGGGATTCCTGACTCAATCCTTTCTGTGCCAAGCAAGAGTGAACAATGTGTGGACAACAAATGAACAACTGCTTTTGTGAAGCTTGAGAAGGTGAAAGCACCAGAACCACCTCTAAGTGCTCTCCACTGAAAAGCTGCAAGTTTTTCAAAGCTTTCATTTTAAATAAATGCTTTGTGTTAAGCTCTTTGAGGGTAGTAATTTCTGTTATCTCCACCTCTGGTATTAATTGGCACTGTAGCTCTAGAAGTTGCTTTTTGTTTTAGGAAGAAATTGTGTTACTGCAAGCAACACATCTTTCCCTTGACTACACAAAATCCCGCAGCCTGTCTTTCTGGAGCTTTTTATTCACACACTGATCTCTCTAGGAAAGAGAGCATACAGGGAGAGGTGCAGCGGAACTTAGGCCATTTAGGGCAAGAACTGGAGCCTCTTTCACGCGTGAACCTCCGACTACCTTGTCAGAGAACAGAGCTCAGCTTACTGTTCTTTTACAGCACAGCCAGAGGAGCCACACAGCAAATCTACAAGGTTTAAAGACAAGTTCTTAGCTGCGCCTGTTCATGGAGGTGCTTCCTACCCCTACCTTGTCCCAGGAAAGCTTGGGAGAGGCAGATGATGAAAAAGTGGTGTTATTTCTCTTAGCATCATTATCAGAAATAGGAAACCTTTTTTCACTATGTGTAAATATTAAAAAAGAACATTAGAAAAGAGCCACATTTTTAATTTTTTTAGAAGAAAACAACAGAATGAAATACATCTTCGTTCCATAAATAATATTAGCAGCAAACCCTTCCATCACTCTAGGTGGTAAAAGGTTTACAGCACAAGAAGTAATATATACTGTAAACACCGTCTGATCATCTGTAAGCCTCTTCCTTACTGAGTCTATACAGTCTTTACCCCTTCACCTGCTTACATGTTCTAGTGAACGAGAGTGAGAAGAGGCAATAACTCTTCTCCAAAACCCAATTTTTGATTTTCTGTAGTGGGGTAATTGTTTTGTCTGCAAACGCTGATTTCACTGGCTTTTTTTTTTTTAACCAAAGCTTTTTTATTTATTTTGGAGGGAAACCTGAGCATTGACACTTTGCTCTGTGCCAAACTACATCCTTCACTTAATGCATTTTTCTTTTTAATACTTTTTAACTGCCACCACTATTTTTTTTTTTGTTTTTTTTTTATTGTCATGGCTTTGGCAGTTAGACAGTTGGCTTACAGGTCACTGCAATCACTTGACTACATTTCTGGTTTGTGGCTCTTTACTCAAAGGGCTATGCAAGGTGTGTCATGTATCCCAGCACTGGATGGATTAATCTGAGTGATTTGGAAAAGAAGGATGCACAGTGTGTGTGGAAAAAATCTCCTTGCCTCGTATTTCCTTCTTGGCAACTGTTCACTTGTACGTGCATGATCCATTCTCATTCAGTGTTTTGGCTACAGAGTTTATTAAGCGGTGGTAGTGCGGAGACCAAAACAGAAGGAAAACTCCTCATTTGACATACGCTGTTGACTGGGGAAAACAAGGAAGAGGGGTTTTTTTTTTTTTCCTTCCCCAGTTTTAACATCCAAGAAAATTTCCCTCTCTCTTCTCTTCATTTGTGTCCAGAGAGGGCATCACCTGTTGAATAGACTCCATTGTTAATCCTACAGTCTTCAGTCCTCATAGAGTCTATTAATTCCTCCTCTGAATCCTCCTCCTCTTCCTCCTCTGGGGCTGACAGGCTGGATGTGGGGCCTTTACATATTTTTAAGTGGCGAGTGAGGTGATACTTGGTTAGATAAGCCTTGGAGCATTTTTCACAGACATAGTCCCTCTTTCCTTCATGTGAATTGAGATGCTTCTTCAGGTGGTTTGTCCTCAGAAACAGCTTGTCACACTTGGGGCACTTGATCTGCCGTTCTCTGCAAGACATGATAAAGTTACAGTTTGCTGCTGCCGCAAGGCAGCCAATACTGTCTTAAATAGTGGGGTGGTGGTGACAGGAAGGGTGAAAGGGTCAGTCTTACTCCTAAATCTTACTTCTAATATACTTGAAGGAGAAGCAGACCAGAAATAACAGCACTACTGCAGAGTGTAAGTACTGCTCAGTTTTCTCTCACACAGTACGTACACAAAGCCCCTCTTCTCTGCTCCCCCC